GGGGTGGAGGAAGGTAATTTAATTTTCTGTCATACATGTTCGTAGTACTTTTTTCTCAGTAGGGCTAGCTTATGCCGAATATAATCCTTTAGGGACTGATGATATTTTTTTTAAAATTGCACACACATAAATACGTTTCCATTGTAATAAGTCTTTATATACAGATATATCAACAACCAGCTATATCTCTAAGAGTTGCGTGTCGATACGTGAGACGTAGTCCGACTTTGGTCGTGCGTCGCGGGTGTGTCAATATCATCATCCACGAGGGATTAGTCATAGCAACGATCATGTGCGCCCACAGGTATTTCCCTCAGAGGGTGGAGGAAGGTAATTTAATTTTCTGTCATACATGTTCGTAGTACTTTCTTCTCAGAAGGGCTAGCTTGTACAGAATATAATCCTTTAGGGACTGATGATATTTTTTTTAAATTGCACACACATAGATAAATTTCCATTGTAATAAGTCTTTATATACAGAGATATCAACAACTAGCTATATCTCTAAGAGTCGCGTGTCGATACGTGAGACGTAGTCCGGCTTTGGTCGTGCGTCGCTGGTGGTAGTCGCTGGCGTGCTTCTGTGTCAATATCGTCATCCACGAGGGATTAGTCATAGCAACGATCATGTGCGCCCACAGGTATTTCCCTCAGAGGGTGGAGGAAGGTAATTAAATTTTCTGTCATACATGTTCGTAGTACTTTCTTCTCAGAAGGGCTAGCTTGTACAGAATATAATCCTTTAGGGACTGATGATATTTTTTTTAAATTGCACACACATAGATACATTTCCATTGTAATAAGTCTTCATATACAGATATATCAACAACCAGCTATATCTCTAAGAGTCGCGTGTCGATACGTGAGACGTAGTCCGGCTTTGATCGTGCGTCGCGGGTGGTAGTCGCTTGCGTGCTCCTGTGTCAATATCGTCATCCACGTGGGATTAGTCATAGCAACGATCATGTGCGGCCACAGGTATTTCCCTCAGGGGGTGGAGGAAGATAATTTAATTTTTTGTCATACATGTTCGTAGTACTTTTTTCTCAGTAGGGCTAGCTTATGCCGAATATAATCCTTTAGGGAATGATGATATTTTTTTTAAAATTGCACACACATAAATACATTTCCATTGTAATAAGTCTTCATATACAGATATATCAACAACCAGCTATATCTCTAAGAGTCGCGTGTCGATACGTGAGACGTAGTCCGGCTTTGGTCGTGCGTCACGGGTGGTAGTCGCTTGCGTGCTCCTGTGTCAATATCGTCATCCACGTGGGATTAGTCATAGCAACGATCATGTGCGGCCACAGGTAGTTCCCTCAGGGGGTGGAGGAAGGTAATTTAATTTTCTGTCATACATGTTCGTAGTACTTTTTTCTCAGTAGGGCTAGCTTATGCCGAATATAGTCCTTTAGGGACTGATGATACTATTTTAAAATTGCACACACATAGATAAATTTCCATTGTAATAAGTCTTTATATACAGATATATCAACAACCAGCTATATCTCTAATAGTCGCGTGTCGATACGTGAGACGTAGTCCGGCTTTGGTCGTGCGTCGCGGGTGGTAGTCGCTTGCATGCTGCTGTGTCAATATCGTCATCCACGAGGGATTAGTCATAGCAACGATCATGTGCGCCCACAGGTATTTCCCTCAGAGGGTGGAGGAAGGTAATTTAATTTTCTGTCATACATGTGCGTAGTACCTTCTTCTCAGAAGGGCTAGCTTGTACCGAATATAATCCTTTAGGGACTGATGATATTTTTTTTAAATTGCACACACATAGATAAATTTCCATTGTAATAAGTCTTTATATACAGAGATATCAACAACCATGTATATCTCTAAGAGTCGCGTGTCGATACGTGAGACGTAGTCCGGCTTTGGTCGTGCGTCGCGGGTGGTAGTCGCTTGCATGCTCCTGTGTCAATATCGTCATCCACGAGGGATTAGTCATAGCAACGATCATGTGCGCCCACAGGTATTTCCCTCAGAGGGTGGAGGAAGGTAATTTAATTTTCTGTCATACATGTTCGTAGTACCTTCTTCTCAGAAGGGCTAGCTTGTACCGAATATAATCCTTTAGGGACTGATGCTATTTTTTTTAAAATTGCACACACATAGATACATTTCATTGTAATAAGTCTTCATATACAGATATATCAACAACCAGCTATATCTCTAAGAGTCGCGTGTCGATACGTGAGACGTAGTCCGACTTTGGTCGTGCGTCGCGGGTGTGTCAATATCATCATCCACGAGGGATTAGTCATAGCAACGATCATGTGCGGCCACAGGTATTTCCCTCAGGGGGTGGAGGAAGGTAATTTAATTTGTTGTCATACATGTTCGTAGTACTTTCTTCTCAGAAGGGCTAGCTTGTACCGAATATAATCCTTTAGGGACTGATGATATTTTTTTTAAATTGCACACACATAGATAAATTTTCATGGTAATAAGTCTTTATATACAGAGATATCAACAACCATGTATATCTCTAAGAGTCGCGTGTCGATACGTGAGACGTAGTCCGGCTTTGGTTGTGCGTCGCTGGTGGTAGTCGCTGGCGTTCTCCTGTGTGAATATCGTCATCCACGAGGGATTAGTCATAACAACGATCATGTGCGGCCATAGGTATTTCCCTCAGGGGGTGGAGGAAGGTAATTTAATTTTTTGTCATACATGTTCGTAGTACTTTCTTCTCAGAAGGGCTAGCTTGTACCGAATATAATCCTTTAGGGACTGATGATGTTTTTGTTAAAATTGCACACACAAATACATTTCATTGTAATAAGTCTCCATATACAGATATATCAACAACCAGCTATATCTCTAAGAGTCGCGTGATCGATACGTGAGACGTAGTCCGGCTTTGGTCGTGCGTCGCGGATAGTAGTCGCTTGCGTGCTCCTGTGTCAATATCGTCATCCACGAGGGATTGTTCATAGCAACGATCATGTGCGGCCACAGGTAGTTCCCTCAGGGGGTGGAGGAAGGTAATTTAATTTTCTGTCATACATGTTGGTAGTACTTTCTTCTCAGAAGGGCTAGCTTGTGCCGAATATAATCATTTAGGGACTAACGATATTTTTTTTAAATTGCACACACATAGATACATTTCCATTGTCATAAGTCTTTATATACAGATATATCAACAACCAGCTATATCTCTAAGAGTCGCGTGTCGATACGTGAGACGTAGTCGAGCTTTGGTCGTGCGTCGCGGATAGTAGTCGCTTGCGTGCTCCTGTGTCAATATCGTCATCCACGAGGGATTGTTCATAGCAACGATCATGTACGGCCACAGGTATTTCCCTCAGGGGGTGGAGAAAGGTAATTTAGCTTTTTCTCATGCATGTTCGTAGTACTTTTTTCTCAGAAGGGCTAGCTTGTACCGAATATAATCCTTCAGGGACTGATGATATTTTTTTAACACACATACATAGATACATTTCCATTGTAATAAGTCTTTATATGTATACAGTGATATCAACAACCAGCTCTGATGAATTCCCTGAAGGTTGGTTACCCATAAAAATGGATACGTCACCCTATCGTATTATTTACTCATTTCTCAATTCCACATATAGATAATCATAGCTCGAATTCAATTACAGTAGAAGGGATATATTCCCATAACGTTGGACATTTCACTAATACCTGCCGGAGATGGATTTATCGCCCTTTTGACATTACTGAATGTTGGAATTCTACCGGTATTATACCAGTGGGCGAAATAGTTTAATGAAAGGAAAACCAATAAGTAATTGCGTGTCTAAGGGCAATTTATCAAGTTCGAGCCAAATTTCGTTGCATAATTAGCCCAATATTTCATCTGCTTTACACGAAAGCCTGTGAAATAAACAGTCCAGGATCCCACAAAATGTCTATAACATGTTAATTCGGATAAGATATACATGCAACAGTGAGTCTCCTAAAAGAGTAGCAAATATGTCTAGACATTTCTACAAGATGTTTCTTCTGTTACAGTAGGGTGGCCGATATCGCCCTAAACCATTGATTCCCAAAGTGGTCTATATCGACCCCTAGGGGTCTATGACAACCTGCAAGGGGTCTACGCCAGCGAAAAAAGATTTGGGGGTCCATGAAATGAATATGGGGGTCCACGATAGTGGATCTCAACACATACACTGATAGTACCTATTTACTTACATCATACTATCTTATAATATCAAAACATATACATTATTTATAAAAGTACCTATGGAGTTAAAAATTTATTATATATGTTTATAAAATTGTGTAAGTTGTAGGATGTTGGTATTCGCTTTGTGGTCGCAATACATTTTGAACTTGTAAAAACCTGAGTGTCGCAGTCTCAGAGCTTCGCTACCTTGCACTGACTTGTTCAATTCGTCACTCTTTAAATAGAATGTGGGACAAATACGTTTATTCGTTTCCTGAATCTTGAAAAGGATAGTGCTAAGAAAATATTTTAAAAAATATGAACAGATAGTATAACACACAAATTATAGTGAGTTAGTGTTATTTTGTTTGAGAGTGCTGGAGAAAAGTAAGTACATTATTTTTTATTAAATTTTAGTTTTGTACTCGTAGTTAGCAAAGATAGATAAATTACGCCAATCATGACTTTAGTTGTTAGTAGTTAAATATTCAATCATGCAAAATTACACGAGTACTCCTCAATAGTTTCTTTTTGAAAGTTTTAGCAATCGGTAATATAATTACAGTGCAATCTCCGTAATTCGAGCTAATTGTTGCAAGAAGATGTTCGAATTATGGAATGTTTTCGGAAAAATCATAAAATATTTTTAATATACAGCTGCTGGATTTTCTGTCTTATTTAAATAATTTAATTTTGCCCACAGATGACTGATGCCATGTCCGAATCTAAAAAGAAATGTAGACAGTACAGTGTTGATTATTTGAAATTTGGCTTCATTCCATCATTGCCGGACAAAAAATCGCCTATGTGCCTTTTATGCAACAAAGTTTTGGGCAATGACGCTATGAAACCATCTAAACTGCAAGATCATCTGAGAAGATGTCACCCTGATAAAACAGAGAAAGATTTGACATACTTTCAAACACTCAAAGATAAATTTCAGAAGAGACCTACACTGGACAGAATGTTCGCTTCGACGTCACAAAGTAATGATTATGGTTTGCGGGCGTCTTACAATATCTCGTTACTTATAGCAAAATCCGGAAAACCGCATACTATCGGAGAGAAGTTAATTTTGCCAGCCGTTGAAGAGGTTTTAAAAACTGTTTTGCACAAACCTGCATCTGATATCATTAAAAGAATTCCCTTAAGGAACAATACTGTTGAAAGACGTATTGATGAAATGAGTTCTGATATTGAAAGCTTCTTATGTAATTATTTGCAAACGACCCATTTCTCTATACAACTGGACGAGTCAACTTTACCTGATAATGCAGCATTATTATTGGCATATGTTCGTTTTATTATGAATCAAGAAATCTACGAAGAACTGCTCTTCGCAAGAACTTTGATAACCGACATTAAAGGTGAATCAATATTTCATGTTTTGAAGGATTACTTCATTGAAAAAGCAATTCGTTTATCAAATATAATACCAGTAGCTACAGATGGACCACCTGGCATGGTTGGACGTTATCGTGGATTTATAAGCTATTTAAAACAAAATGTGTCAGGGGTGTTAGCAGTACATTGCGTTATCCATCGACAATATTTGGTTGCTAAAAATTTGAGTGTTAGATTGCATGAATCACTTAATTTAGTCATTGATGCAGTAAACCGAATCCGAAGCAACGCGTTGAATACGTGGCTATTTGCGCAGTTGTGTGTAAAAAATGACAAACACTTTCATCAATTACCCTTCACACTGAAGTACGCTGGCTGTCGAAAGGCTTATGTTTGACAAGATTTTTTGCACTTTTTGAGACTATTTTAGAATTTCTGGATACTAAAGGAAAAATTTTAAAAGAAAATTTAATGAAGAGGAAAACAGACATCGCCTATTTAACAGATTTGTTTACAAAATTTAATATGGTTAATTTGCAATTACAAGGCGTCAGTTTAAATTTGATTAAAACAAAGTCCATCTTATCAGCGTTTCTTGCCAGAGTTAAACTAATGAAGCAAAATATTGGACGGGGCGAATTTTCTCAGTTCCCCAATTTGTCACACACAAGCTGCCAGGAAGACGACGTTTCAACTTACGTTCAACATTTAAATGCCCTCTATTCAGATTTTGAATCTAGGTTTGAGGATATTTTGACTATGGTAATACCACCGTGGATAATTCATCCATTTGGTGACATAGAAGAAACGAATGTGATAATACAAGAGGAACTGACTGAACTAAGTACAAACGAAGAACTTAAGGTTCAGTTTAAAAACGGATATCAGCAATTCTGGCTGCAAAACAACATACCCGTTACTTATCCCATATTATGGAATATAGCGAGGAAATTTTTAATTTCCTTTCCATCGTCATACCTAGTGGAAAGGGGGTTCAGCGCTGTTACCAATCTCCTAACGAAAAAAAGAAACAGACTGGGCATCATTAGCCGAGGAGATTTAAGATTAACCCTTACAAAATTGACGCCAAATGTTGATAATTTATTATTAAAGCATCAGGTTCATCCTTCTCACTAAAAATATTGACTTATTGCTTATGTTATTTTATTTATAGTTTATTTTATGTTTATTGGTGTCTGACCAATAAATGCCCGCATTGGGAATAAGTGCCCGCATTGATTTTTTTAAAGAACCCCCCTTTATAGAAAATATATTTTTTTTAAATTATTCTAAAAATTCAAGGATAGGTAACACACTAAAATTCGTAAATTTTTCGCCTATTTTTAGACAACTTAAACGTATAAGAAGCGGAATTTAATCAAACTAACAGTGAAATTATTGTAGAACATACGTTTATGTTATAATTAATAAACGAACTCGCTTATTGTACTATTTTAAGTAAAAAACTTTTTTTTATTATTTTTCACTTTTTTTTTATTATATCCCACTTATTTTTTTTTCAATGCGGGCACTTATTCCCAATGCGGGCACTTATTGGTCAGACACCTGTTTATTTAATGTTACGTATATTTTACATAACAGATACAAAATTTTATTTTGAGTAGTTTTAATTTAAATTCAATTAATAAATGTATAAATTAACATGTGTTTTTACTTTAAGTTTTTAACACTAAACTTCACTACAGTTAGAAATTTACAGGAAATCAATATCAGGTAAGTAGGAGGTCTACCCAATACGGAAAAACATGGCAAGGGGTCTACGACACAAAAAAGTTTGGGGAACTCTACCCTAAACAAATACAAGTTATATCACCGTACCTGGGATTTCACCTTGACCTTGACCTCCTGAGGTCAAAAGTCAAATATTGTCAAGACCATATTTAAACGTAGAATTGTCTGCTCTTTTCATTTACAGTGTCAAAAACGCAAGGTGCTACTTAAACCACTCGACTTGACCTTCAAATAACCTTGAAGGTCATGTTCACGGTGAAATCCTATGTTACCATTTGATAGCTGAGAGAAACTCATGTCAATTTTTAACACGCTTTCATCCAGCATCAACTTTATTTTTCCTTATAGATGCCACATTGGATTTTTACTCAGGTGAATGGGGTTTGCCAAACCTTATTCATTTCAGAAAAACATAATTTCTTAGATATACCTTGGAATTATCAGATAGTCATCATGACGCTAGGCTAGGTTGACATCTTCTGGAAAAACCTACATCATGTCACAAAAACCTACATAATGTCAAAAAAATGACATAATGTCAGTTTCCAAGATATGTAATACCTCTGCAGACCTCAAATTGAACGTAGTAACAGTTTGGAAGACTGATTAGAATGGAAATAAACCGAGCAGTGAACAATGTACAGAGAAGAGCGAGACCTTGCCCACAAAATAACGGACAAGGTTTTGTACATCTATGATTCACCTTTGCTTATTCATGATTATTATTGTTATTACCATCAATAAAATCTTCATTTCGTGGTCAGGATCCACCATAACTTTTTATTCCCTCATAATTTTCGTTCCGACAACAAATTCATGGCTAACTAAGGAAATATATCACTGAATTTAGGACTGAAATTCCATTTAAGTGTACAAAACTCCAATGTAGCGCCAATATGAAAAAACAAAGTTCGTGTTGCAAGTCGAAAGAAGAAACTTCGAATTGACAATTTGACTAAGCCATCTAGCACAGAAGAAAAAGTGTCGACATGTGATTTACTCAAAAATTCTAAATCTCAAGTTAATATGAGGAAAAATGAAAAATGATTTTACGGGGAATCTGTTATACGAAGCAGACTTCCGATCATTTGAAGGCCTATCTAGGAAATTTTTCACTAACGAAAATTCGGCAATGCCAAAGAGATTTTTGGAATCAGAATTAAACACTACTAAATTCTCCTGCGTAGGTAAGAAAGAATATTTTCTCTTCTAAAAGAGAAAAAGTAGCAGTGCTAATATGCGTGTCTCAGATTTGCTTGTGGAGTGAGAAAATTTGAGACAGTGTCACATAAATATCGTGAGCTGGGTGTTCAAAAAATAGAAGAGCTACAAAAAATGCACGTATTGACCTTGACCCATAAGGTAATCACAACACAAGCCCCTCCATATCTATCAACCAAATTTATCAGATACTCAGATGTTAATCAACTGAACACAAAGAATAAGCATATCTTGGTTATCCCGAGACATTCAACATCTCTATTTAAAAGGTCGTACGTATACTAAGTGACATATAAATCCGAACACCCAGTTTAAATGGTTTTATTTTAATAAAAGTTGGTGAATGTATTTATCTTACTGTAAATAACAAGTGAACAAATTTTCAGCCTTACCAGTTGGACATTCCGGTTTTTATACTGCTTTTTTTTAATTCACTAACGCTCTAAAAATGAATATTTCAGCCGCATTAAAGAATCAACGTTGGCGGATTTTGGTTCTTGACATCCTTTACGATCGGTTACGATGCCTAGAGTACGGAGACCTGTACGATTTCGTCAACTTAGTGAGTTTGATAGGGGCCGTATAGTGGGACTTCGGGAAGCTGGACTTTCTTTTCGGGCAATTGCAGTTAGAGTGCAAAGAAGTGTAGACACTGTGGTTAGGTGTTGTCAGGTATGGCTTCGAGAAGGCCGTACGCAAAGAGCAAGGGGCACTGGATGCCGCCTTAGAACAACAGACCGTGAAGATCGCCGCCTAAGATTATTGGCCTTAAGGGACCGTTTCTCCACTACCAGATCCATTGCAAATGAATGGTTTGCAGAACACGGAAGACCTATTGTTGGAGTTATGGTTTGGGGTGCTATAGCTTATGGTTCCAGATCACCTTTAATCTTCATCAGAGGTAACATGAACGCGCAGCGTTATATCCACGAAGTTCTAGAACCCCATCTTTTACCCTATCTTGACACCCTGGCAGATCCAACTTTCCAACAAGATAATGTCCGACCACATGTTGCAAGAGTCACAATAGACTTCTTTCAACATAATGATGTCACATTGTTACCATGGCCACCAAGATCTCCCGACTTATCCCCAATTGAGCACGCGTGGGATATGATGGGTAGGAGATTGCTCAATTTGCAACGTCCTCCTCAGACTCTAGAAGCACTTCGAGAGGAGTTGGTGGTTGCCTGGAATGAGATACCACAGGAGGACATTGCGTAGCACATCAGGGTGCATCCACACATTGTTAAAAGTCAAAGGGCTTTAAAGCAGTGCTATTTGAAATTTTTATCATTTACTTATTATGCTTCATTAAGTACTTATACAAAATTTTATTAAAATAATAAATATGTCACTTAGTATATATACTGCTATCAAGCTATACAACGCGTTGCGTACCGAGTTCACTCACTACTCTATAAAGAATTTAAAAAAAAGATTGAAGAATTTTATCTCTGATTTCATTGCTCAGTAAGTAGGCCATGGTCATGAATAAGGACTCATTACAGGTTTTTTTTAACTCTTTTGTTTTCATTGGGATTAGAAAACATACATAAATATTTGTTGTGTTAAGTTGAAAAACGCTTTTTAGCGACACTTCGCCTTTTTATACTTTGTATAAATAAAGCCGGATTATTATTATTATTATATACAATTTATTTTGAAATCCCACTACAAATAAATTCAAGAAAAAAAATTAAAACAAATTTGGGAAAACTTTTCCTTGTCTATCTGCGGCATTTTGTTAGTTACTTAAATACGCAACTTTTCCTCCGTTCAAGCGACTCCGTATCTCTTGCCGTGTCTGATATCCTAATGGTGATGGTCGAGTTTCAACTGTCATTATAATCGCCATTAAGACGCCCCACTTATTTTTATCCCCGAATGGGTAATACGAGATAAGGATGGTTTTGGTGAAACTGGGACGTACAGTCAGCAAACGTATAACTACGAATTAGGAATGGTACCTGATTCTAACTAAATTCCATTTCTCTCCGCCGCTACCGGACCGTTCCTGACATAGCAGTAACGCTGTGTAAAAATTTCATCGGGACCCGAGCGCTACTTCTGAAGTTATAGCGGGTTTTTGAATTTTGAATTCGCTATAATTAATTACTCTTGTGTTTTTTTCCTTATAATGTGGGCCTGTGAATGGTGTTTTATTTGTGGTACCACGACTTGTGAATCACCCTGTATGAAACATAATATCGTATTTTCAAAAAATTTGCACCATCACAACACTTCCCCGCCAGCAGGCCTGGGAAGTAAAAGAAAGTGAATGAGTTACCATATTCATGGTAGCAGAGCGCGGTTGCAGAGCTGTGGGCTTTTACATGTTATGCAAAAGCAGGCTGAATTCATCAAAAATAATAACGCTTAAAACGGAGAAAATAGAGCATCTACCATTCAGACTCATAGAAATTAGCAGAGGGTACCGAAAATACATCATAACTTGCACTTCATCACATGTCAGCGCTTTGTCGAGCAATAGCTATGAAATGTTGAAAACAAAATACTGTCAAAGTATGAGATGACAACTTGTCATTGAAACATCACCAGCTTATTGAATATTAAGAAATTACATATAATTCAATCAAAATTTTAAGAAATGTTTGATTTTTGAATTAAATTCATGTTTTAATTACTATTGTTGATTTGTTATTCATGTTTATATTATTTTCTTCAATTGATATGTGATACTGGGTGTTTTTTTCTATAAACCTCTTGCAGATAGCCATTAAGCACCTACTTGACGACAGGCTCTACCAAAAGATATTGTTCGTTTCCAAACATTCATTCATTTACTTGCCGTTCATCAGAACCATTATGGCACCTTAGATTGATATTCCCACAAAACCATTCAGGTTCTTTGATATCCATACATCCATAAAGTTGAATATTTTTCGTTGTTCACGAGTATCGACATCTTTCGATCCGGATTGTGTCAGAAAGAGTGACTGTCATTTGGCTGCGACATTACCCTGCCAAATCAGACATATCTTTCACTATTTTCAAAGAAATTGTACAAAATCTTCAAATTTGTGGAGTTAGCGAGTTTCACTTCATACGTTGTTACCAGACATGCCCAAATTATCAGTTGCTGCCGTGATATTCATCCCGACCACTGCATCCCCACGGCTAGGCGACTTGTATGTTAAATT